AGGTGACCTGCAGCCTTGTTGCCTGGCTGTTTCTATACGCCTGCTTCTGCTACTGGAACAAGCACCATTCCTACGAGTGGAGCTGTCGCTTAGTCACCCTGCTGCATGGGGTGGTTGTCACCTGCCTCTCTGGTTATGTTGCTCTCTTGGATGGCCCCTGGCCTCTGACCCATGCAGGTATGTTTGGAGTCTTACCCTGACACATGTCCTTGTGATGGTGTGTGGACACCTAGTTCTCTTACAGGTGGAGTGGGGGGCTGGTTGCTTTTGCTGTCTGTTCTCTTATGCGTGTGTTTTTGGGGTGTGTTTGGGGCAGGATTTTGTTTAACTCCCCTGCTTCTTCTCCAGCCCTTACCACTTTTTACCATTAATCTTTTTTTTGTTTTGTTTTATCCATGCACATATTGAAAGTTTTTGAGTTGGCAGCTTGAGTTTATTGCAGCATTAGGTGTAGCAATGGGTTGAGAATAAATGAAGTGTTGTTTACATCTTTAAGGGTGTAATAACTCCTGGCATTTGGCTGTGGGGTTTTGTTTGCTGTTTTCTGTTGTTAAATCTCAAATAGTTCTGCTGATGGGGGTCAGGCTTTCCATCCTTGCTTTCTGAAAGGGTGGAGAGAAAAAGAAGTGTGGCAGGATGGGATGGCCTGCCTTGGTCTGGGCAGGCTGAAGCGTGAAGGGAGAGCAGAATCAGATGTCCAAGTTTCCAGCCTGGCACTTGGCCCATAGAATAAGGCTGGAAGCTAAGGAGGAGAGAGGCATACTCACAACCTGTATTGCTCCATATTGTAGAATGTCTTAAATAAGATCCCATGCTTATGTACGTCTGTCATTTCAGGTTCACCAAACACATCTCTTCAGATCCATGTGCTGTCCCTGACCTTGGGTTACTTTATCTTTGACCTGGGCTGGTGCCTATATTTCCAGACAGAGGGGCACCTAATGCTGATCCATCACACGCTGAGCATCTGTGGCATGATCATGGTGCTGGGGCTCGGGAAGTCTGCTACAGAAGTCAATGCTGTTGTATTTGTTAGCGAGATCACCAACCCACTGCTTCAGACCCGCTGGTTTCTGCGGGAGATGGGGTGTTACCACACTTTCCTGGGAGAGGTGGTGGATTTCTTCTTTGTGTTCCTCTTCCTGGTACTGCGGATCGCGGGAGGAGCTTTGATCATGTTTGCGATGGTGACATCCCCTGATCCCAGCTGGCTCCTCAAGGCTGGAGGCCTGGCCATGTACATTGTGTCTTTGGGGTTCATGGTTGAAATCTGCCGCTTCATCAGAAGGAAAATGTTGAAAAAAACCCACTGTTCCTGGATAAACCTAAGGAGTGTGAATGCACCTGTGAAAACTAATGGGCACTTGACAGCTCATTAATGGGTTGAGGATGACAATCCCTTGGGCTAGGGTCCTGGCTATTGAAGACTCTTCAGAAAAGAGCTCCTAAAAGTGGTGTGGAATTGACTTTCTGGCACTGGCAGTGGTCTGCTACCGCTGGAGAAGATAAATCGGTGCTAGGAACATGAGAACGCTGACAGAAGAGGGGCTTGAGTGGAAATCTGAGGAACCTGGCATGTCTGCTGAACTCCGATTCCCTGACTTCTCCAGCAATGATACAGTCTGAAGGCAGGTGGCAATGCCAGACCTATTCAGTCTGCAACCAATAATTGCGGTCTGTATGTTCTGTAATGATTTTGGAGGTAAAATTATTTTTGCAGTGTAAAGCCAGAAAAATCAAAGCTGAAAAATCCCATCTTCCTGCTAGTGAGACCAGGTAGGAGTGTGACCTAGCAAAGATTTACTGAGCCTCATTCTTCCTTAATCCTGGAGTTGGACAACACGCTTCACTAAGTACTTGGATGAAAGCCTTTCAACAAGATTCAAGTGCTTGCAGGGGTATAGTAGGGTTGTCCTTTGAGTGTGTGAAGTGATGGTACTTGAGGTGAGGCAATATTTTACCTCATTGTTTTTAATGATACATTTCTTTTTTTTAATACTTGCATTCAAGCAGATACTGATCTTAGAGCAGTGTGACTTCACTGGGATTGACTCAGACCCTCGTAAACAAGAGTCAAGAATTAGACCTGTGCTGATAAACTCCATCAGCAGGCGCTCACCTAGCCTTGGTTTGCTTAAAAAATAAATCGGGCATTTTATGGGTGAGAGATGACAAAGAAGAGCCTTCTCTGGCTGCTCTTTCTGTTCTGGGGTAGCCTCGTCTACAAGCTGCTTAATCTGAATGCATGGCTAAGTGCATATTTTAGCACTCAGCCTGGCTAAAGTGACTATATTTTCAGAGGTGACAGTAATATTTAGGCAGATCTCAGTGTAACACCTGCTCCATATCAGCAGGTCTCAAGAGTATGGACCAGTTCTCTTGTTTTTTTTACCTCTCAGAATTGTGTTCTGACATTTCCCCTGGGGTTTTAATGTGAATTTCCCTCTGTTCAAGGCTGCAGTTCAGATTTACTCTCCCATAAAAGCCTCACAGCTGAGAAACAAATGGCCTTGTGTTGCCCTCAGGCTTAGCAAGGCTGGTTGCCTTTCCTTCCTGCTTTCAAATACCTTGTTTAGAGGAGGTTCTTGGGAGGAGTGGGAATACAGCTGCTGTGGGGATGCAGACCTACTAGCTCCTCCATGCCTCTTATCTCACTAATTTTGGCAGTGTTCAGGGCAGATATGCGCCTTGGCTGGGGGTTCGAATAAGGTGTCTGGAGAGATTAAGAAAATGACATGAAATAACCTAACTTTTGACGTGCCCTTTAAATCATTGCAGCTGTGAATCCAGGCAAGTTAGCGGGCTAGTACGTTTTAGAAAAGCCTTGCGTTCCTGATAGGTTGTCAGCATAGCTCTGGGGACCCGACCTTGAGAGGTGTGAACTTTTGCCAGAGTCATTTTTCCGAAAACTCCTGTGAGTGATGACACTTCTAATAAAGTTATGTTCTCTTTTTAAAAAGAAACAATTGCTGTAATGTTCTTTTGTTCCGGGTCTTAAGGAGGCAATGGAAGTTAATGCTGAGGAAAACAGTCTTGAGGGTAGCCTGAGCATGCTAAGGCTAGTAGTCATTGGCAAAGCGCTGGCTCATGCCCTTTGTGCAGTTCAGGAAGGAGTGAGCTGCTGGGGAAACCAGCACAGCCAGCCATGTGCTCTGGAGCTCCGGCTTGAGGTGTGAAGAATAGATGAGGGTCAGCTGAAGCTCAGACTTGTGACTAATGGACCCATAACCTGCCTTGCCAATGGGTCATGGTCAGTATGGCAGGGAACTTAGGAATGGGCTGTTAAACTGAGGTATTTGCTTTTGATGGACACAAGGTCACAGGGTAGCTGTTGAATACTGGTCATGGCCAACATCCCAGGTTGCCTTTTTTTTTTTCTGCAGCACCAATGCCTCTCTGTTGCCATGTTTCATCCCAGGAATGACTAATTAAGAAGACTTGGGTTGCAAGGTGGTTTGTCTATGCTATCTTTGGAGAAGTAATTGAAAGCATGAGAACACCTCATGAGAAAACTCTCTTCCTTCAGCTGTGGGACAGTAACCCAGTCAACCCAGCTTGTTTGCATGCAAAACAGAATTGATGGTAGTTACCTTGAGATTTGAAGCAAAGTAAGTGCCCTCAAGTAGTCGTGCATGTCTCGTCTAAGGATAGCTTTAGTGTTAAACCCTCTACTGTGATGCTAGAGAACCATCTCGCTCCACCCTCAGTATTCCATTGGGTTTCTTATTTGCTAGTATTTCAGAGGATGTAATTTTTAATACAGGTGCCTGAATTTTGTGTGTCAAATATCCTTGAGGGCTTTTACAGTCACAAAAAGTGGGCATCAGTCTTGGCCTATCACTGAGAAAGGCTATTGGACTCTTGTGTATTTCCAGTTAATTTTTGGACAAGAAGTTCCCCAGTGTTGGCATGCTAATACTTTCTGACCCTTCAGTGTTGTAAGCTCCCCTTAGAATAGATACAGAAAGAAGGCGAAAAGAAAGAATGTACTGCTGCGCTAAAATGGGTAGCAGCATGCAAATAATTGTTAGCAGAGGTTCCTGTTCTGAGCTGTTTTGCTGAGTGCAATTAATCTGCAGGCAAAATGAGCCAGTGCAACTCAGCCTGCCTATTTAAAAGGCTGACTCTGCACAAAGCAAACAAGAAAATTAGTGTATAAGCTGCACCTAACTTCTGGTACAATCCACTGGGAGATGATTGAACATTGCTAGATGCAAATTTTGCACATTGTATGATCTAGAACAAAAAAACCCTCACAACTCCTTTTCTATATTCTACCTCAGGCATTAAATGGTCCTTGCCTTGTTAGGACTTTGAGTGCTCTTCTGTGACTCTCTCTGTTGTTCTTCCTGGCTGCTCAGTTTGTGCTGTGAGTCGACATAGCCCTAAACTTTGTCTGCCAACGCTGTTCTTTAGCCTGAGCTAAATGTTACAACAGCTCCGGCTCAGTTGTTTTGAGGCTATTGGAGGGGGCCTGGTGCCTGGTCCAGCAAAGGTGGAGGAAAGCAAGATGAGACCCAAGATTCATCAGAGAAGCAAATGCACTATTAATGCTAGTGAGGATGTCGTGCTGAAATAGCTGTTGGATGAGCATCTTGTAGCAATAGGAACCTGTGCCTGGCCTGAACTGGAAAAGTAAGATAGAGATGTCCAGTTGAAAGCAGGCTTATTACAAGTGCTGTGAGAGGCAGGACGAGCCACTCTCACCATCTATTTCAAAAGGTAAAACTTAACAGGATGAAGGGGGGAAAAATAAAGAAATTATTTCTGTGTTTGAGGGATTGTTTTGATTGCAACTTAGGAAAGGAGTAAATGTGTCGGAGGAATGTTTTGGTAAGCTACTTTAGGTGTCCTGCATAAACCCTGGCTTTTGCTACTCTGTGGATGTAGACGAAGGTGGAGGAGAGAGAAAAGATATGGTTTAGCACTGAATGCTTCTAGGCTTTGTAACTGCTGCGTAAGCATTGGATGAGCGGGTATGTTTAGGGCAGGGCTATGTGCTTTCCCAGCCTGCTGAAGCTGCATGCTCTGTGCCGTGCCTGGATGATAAACCCTGCAGGGTGTTACCTTGAAGCTGGTGCTATGCTGATGAGGTTTTGCAAGTTCTGTAGAAGAGTCGGCTCACGTCAGGTGCTGCTTGTGTGTGAGTAAAGCAGGCCCGTGTCTGCCTGCAGCCGTGTGGTCATGCCCGTTATCTCTGGGACACGCGAGATGATTGAAGCGGGTCGTGGGTGCGTGGGACCAATTTCCTGTGCCGACAGGCTAAAGCGATGCTCCGTGTGTGCCCGCTGGGAACGTGACCTGCCTCTTGTTCTGTGAGCAACAACCTGTTGGGCACTGAACCCAGGTCCTCCCCGCCTGACACCTGCGAGTTAGAGCAGTCGGGGCCGGCCCTGGGGGTCACCAGCCTCTGGGCCGGCTTTAGCTGCGGG